TTCCTTCCCTCCTTCCTTCCCTTCCTTTCCTTCCTTCCTTCCCTCCTTCCTTCCCTTCCTTTCCTTCCTTCCTTCCCTCCTTCCTTCCCTTCCTTCCTTCCCTCCTTCCCTTCCCTTCCTTCCCTTCCTTCCTTCCTTCCTTTCTTTCTTTCTTTCCTTCCTTCTTTCTTTCTTCCCTTTTCCCTTATCTCTCTCTCTCTCTTTCTTTCTTTCTCTCTCTCTCTCTTTTTTTTTTTGTAGAGCCAGGGTCTTGCTCTTTCTCAGGCTGATCTTTAACTCCTGAGCTCAAGTGATCCACCCACCTTGACCTCCCAGAGTGCTATGATTATAGGATTGAGACAATTGTGTCCAGCTGAGTTTTTAATTCTGTTGTTGTATTTTTCACACACAAGATAGAATTCTATTTACTTCTTTTTTACATCTACTCTATCACTTTTGAGTCTTTTGGGGAGGGGGCTGGTTTTTATTATTTTTAGAAACAGGGTCTCACTCTGTTGCCTAGGATAGAGTGCAGTGGCATCATGATAGTTTCCTGGGTTCAAACAATCCTCCCATCTTGACCTCCCAAAGTGCTAGAATTACAGGGTTGAGCCACAAGACCTGGTCTCTATCACTTTTTATAGTTTCCAGGAACCTTCCAAAATTGCCCAAGTATCTTTTATTTCTATAAAAAAAATATTATTTTATAGTTTTCATCTGATAATTCCAAAGGCAGATGTCTCTGCAGGCCTATTTCTCTTGTGTCCCTGCTCACTCTAGCTAAAAGAGTCTAGTATCCCCATTTACCTCTTTAATTATGTACTTAACATTGCCTGTGAAAACTTATGTGTCAGAAATATTTGGGGCCAGGCAGCGCCTGTGGCTCAGTGGGTAGGGCGTGGGCCCCATATACCGAGAGTGGTGGGTTTGAACCCAGCCCCAGTCAAACTGCAACAAAAAAAATAGCTGGGCATTGTGGCGAGCGCCTGTAGTCCCAGCTACTTGGGAGGCTGAGGCAGGAGAAGAGCCTAGGCCAGTGGTTCTCAACCTTCCTAATGCCGCAGCCCTTTAATACAGTTCCTGTGGGTTCTGACCCACAGGTTGAGAACCACTGGCTAAGTCCAAGAGTTGGAGGTTGCTGTGATGCCACTGCACTCTGAGAGCCATAAAGTGAGACTCTGTCTCTAAAAAGAAAGAAAGAAAGAAAGATTTAGGGCCTACAGTTATAGAGTTTTTTTCCAAAGTGGATTTTTGCCAGGTATCTGGTAGCACCATAGACGATCTTAAGCCAAGATCATGGCTTGAGATTGGCAATTTGATCCCAGCCTATAAATTCCTCTAAAGTAGTTGCATTTCTAAGTCAGAACCCTCTGGTTCTGAGGGTGTAGTCCAGGGGTCCTCAAACTTTTAAAACAGGGGGTCAGTTCACTGTCCCTCAGACCATTGGAGGGCTGGACTGCAGACCCCGGGAAAAGTTGGCTGCAAAGCAGGACAGGCAGCAGCGGCAAAAACACTAGGCGGGCTGGATAAATGTCCTAGGTGGGCTGCATGTGGCCTGCAAGCCGTAGTTTGAGAACGCCTGGACTGTAGTCTTTGCCATCCTAGTCATTACAAGGAGGGTCTTCTATTTCACTCCTTACTTACTGTTTTATTTACTTTCCTTTATTTATTTATTTATTTATTTAGAGACAGAGTTTTACTTTGTTGCCCTCGGTAGACTGCTGTGGTATCACAGCTCACAGCAACCTCAAACTCTTGGGCTCAAGCAATCCTCTTGCCTCAGCCTCCCAAGTAGCTGGGACTACAGGTACCCACCATAACACTCAGCTATTTTAGAGACAAGGGTCTTACTCTTGCTCAGGCTGGTTGTGAGCTCAAGCAATCCACCCACTTTGGCCTTCCAGAGTTCTAGGATTACAGGTGTGAGCACCACCCAGGCCTTGTTTTATATATTTTCTTCTTCTTTGAAATTAGAAACAAGGTTATCTCCCCACTACCCCAGCTAGGTAAATACCCTCAGGGCAAAAGTGGCTTCTAAATTGGATGACTTCCCTGGATCTTGGCTTTTCAGCTTTCCCTCTGATAATTCCCTACTATTTTTCCATCTCTTAGATACTTTGTTACGAGCTCAATTTATTCCTCCCGAAATTTATTATGTTGAATCCCTAACTCCTAGCACCTCACACTGTGACATCCTCCAATCCCCCCTCCCCTGCCTCCTGCCCCCCATACAAAGTCAGCTATCTGCAAGCGGAGGAAATAGGCCTTAGGAGGAACCAAACCTGCCCACACTTTATACTGGATTTCTAGCTGTGGAACTTCGAGAAAAGAAATTTCTGTTGTTTAGGCCACCCAGCCTGTGATTTTTTTTTTTAATGGCAGCCCTAGCAAACTAATACATACTGTTAGGCCTACTGGGCCTAGGCTAAGACAGAAAGGTGTCAGGCCTAGGCTATAATGGAGAAGTACCAGTTAACTACCCTGGCAAATTTCCGGACTGCAAGCTTTCAAAAAAAAGAAATGAAATACGTCTAATTCACCTCCAAGATATATGAGAAAGTACTAATTGATTTCTTGCTTCGAGTTCACTCCCAGTTTTTTGCTTGGCTAACTCCCTGGGAGAAGAACCAGGCGGCAACAACTGTCCACGAGCTAACCTTTAAACAATACCAAGTGGGGAAAATACTGAGACTAAGATGGGGAAAGTACTGAAAGTAAGATGTGTTGGGGGAAAATATTAAAACAAAGATATATGAGGTATGGCTGGCTAACCACAAAATTCTGCTCCTGTACAATGCTTGCTTGCTACCTACCTGGACGCACCTGGACAGCCTGCATGCCTACTAGGATGCAGACCAAGCCTTAAAAACTTGACCCCTTCAACGGTTCTCAACCTGTGGGTCTCGACCCTTTGTAACAATGAAAATACATCCTGCATATCAGATATTTACATTATGATTCATAATAGTAGCAAAATTACAGTTATGAAGTAGCAACAAAAATAATTTTATGGCTGGGGGTCACTACAACAGGAGGACCTGTATTAAAGTGTTGCAGCATTAGGAAGGTTGAGAACCACTGCTTGAAGCACTTGGGGCTGCTCTCAAAAACCCGACGTTGGGACACTGAGGCGGTCTTGTTTCTTCCATAAAAAGGGCGTTGTGGCCGGTGCCTGTAGTCCCAGCCACTGGGGAGGCTGAGGCAAGAGAATCGTATAAGCCCAGGAGCTGGAGGTTGCTATAAGCTGTGACACCACTGCACTCTACCCAGGGCAACAAAGTGAAACTCTTGTCTCTTAAAAAAAAAAAAAAAAGAATCCTCTTTAAATTTAACTTGTTTGGCAGTGTGGTCTTTGGGGAACTCCTCCGCACACTACCTTTAAGAAAATCAAAAGTATATATTCCAGACTTTGATACAAATATTCTGGCCTACCAAGGTAATTCCAGTCATCCTCTTTGCCCCCCTTTCCCCCATCCTGCTTCCTTTTTCTTCATAATCCGTACTGTTGCCTAGGGTATCATCTTTTTCTCTATTTATTACTATCAATTAATTTCACCCTCAATGAGAAAAGCAGGAACTTCATTTTGTTTACTGCTGTACTCTGTCTCCGAGCCTATAAGAATGTGTGGTAGATCTTACAGTCTCTAAAGATAATTGAACGAATGAGTGAATGACAGAGAAGGGGCTTCCTCACAGGTCAGCCTCGAAGCCGCTCCATCACCGCTGCTGGGAAACGTGTGACGGTCCCGCTTTGCAGCACGGGGTATGCGCGCGCCCGAGGATGCTCCCGACTTCCGGCTTCCGGTTGGCGGGCGCGCGGGGCTTGCCCAGAGTGGGCGTGTCCAGCCGCCGGCTCCGGCGGCTGGACGTGAGGAGCCCTGGGGGCGACGCGCCGGCGCGCAGCCAGCCCGGGGCTCGACCCAAGGACAGCCAGTGCTGGAGGAGGGTCCCCGGCGGTGCGGGCGACCCCAGAGGGAACGTCTGAAGGACAGAGGGAGCGCGAGACTCCTGGCCGCGGCCTAAGAGGCCGGAGGCCGGATGGGCTTGGCCCCTGTCGCCAGTCCCCGGCTTTAAAGCAACCGCCAGCGAGGTGCCTCCTCCCCTGGATCTGCGAGAAACCAGTTCAGGGCACCCCTCCCATTCTGACCCCAAAGCGCCGCTCCGAGGTTGCGGCTGGGAAAGCCCACCCACACTAGGCGGGCCCTTGGTGGGAATTTGGAAAAGACCCTCGTCCAGTCCGGAGGCCGAGGGTCCTCTGGGCTTCCGAAAGAAGACTACCTAAACGCTGCATGAATTTTGGAGAATGCGTTGAGTGAAAGGCAGCCTGTCTATAAAAGGCTGGGATAGAGCAAAATCTGTTACCACTCTGTCCATTTCTGCAGCTGAAAACCCCAAAACAAGCGCGCTCACGCCCGCATCTGTGGTCCTACCTATGTCCACGGCCGATCTGGTGAGTGTGTCCGCCATCTGTAAGTCCGAGGGTGGCATGTCTGGGAGCACTGCGAGGATGGGGCATCTTTAAGTTGAAGCTTCTTAGCCATTAACTGTTTAAGATGTAAAAGTTTCTGCACTTCAGTAACAAGACGTTTTGTATATTGAGAGGCAGGATATTTTCCACTAGCTCCAATCTGTAGGACATACGCAGCTCCTTTCTCTGCAACAGTTACAGAAAACAAAAACACAACACCTCTTGTAAGTCACACACCTATCTCTTCCCTACAAACTTCAGAAAGTTGGACTAGCTTCCTTCCACGGAGCTAAGACTTCTTGGGGCAGCAGAGACCCTGGGTCTAGTCACGGCAGATGCCAGGGACTGGTAGAGATGATGGATCTGGGTTGTTTCCAAATTTGCCTGGTACATTTCTGCAGTAATCTTCATTATGCTTGAGGTATTATATTTCCTCCACGTGAAGACCCCTCTCCACTTTTAACATTTCTGAAACCTGGATGCAGTGAGGTTAAAAGGGACTTGCCAGCTGCTGGGCGTCTGCGTGGGTGGTGATGTGTCTGTGCTGCTTGCTCATGCCAGAACGCAACTATGTAATCGATTATTTTATCAGCAGAGATACTTGAACTTTAAAATCAGATCTCTAATTTTTTCAAAAAGTAACTTTAAAAGGTGATACTGTAATAAGATGATAAAAGGCTTGTAACAACGTTTATTAAGGATTTGCTGTATGCCTACTATTGTCTCAATCAACATTACAACAATATGAAGTACAATTATTATCCTCGTTTTATAGATGAAGAAGCTGAAGCTTAGAGAGTTGAATTGCCTTCCGGCTTTTAATGCAAGTGTCAGGGCTCTGACCCAGGCTAATTTCAAAGCCTACCCTTTTTACCTCCCTCCTCTGAATCCAGGAAAGATGCCTGCGACTGACAAGGAGGGAAGTCAAGGCAGGATCAATGCATGTTTGTACAGCTTTGGGGTGTTTGTGGATCTTTGGCTATTTGTGTATGTATGTGTGAACTGGGAGATAGAGCTACATCCAAGAACATTGATTATTTATTATTTCTGCACTGACAATCTTTGTTTTGGATCTTTTGCAGTTTTAAATATATTTCTGCAGGTTCTGGAGTTGTGGTGTATGACAAGTGCTTGTACATCCCTCTTCTCTTTTTTGCTCCCCTGAAAGAGTTTTGAGGCAGTACTCAAACCTACTCAGCTGGCTGTCTCTCAAAGGAAGCAGTGCTTAATTTAGGAAGGGAGTCTGTTTTGCAAAGTTGTTAAAGTTACACCAGCCTCCAGGAGTGCCCAGATCCTGGTAGTGCAGGGACTCAAGCTCCAATCTCAAGGACATACACAGCTCTTTTCCTGAGGAGCCCAAATCTTGGGAACAGGTCACTGTGATCTGAAGAAGACCACATAACCGTGAAGTCTCTCATCAGAGGTTCTGGAAATTTCCTCACCAGAAGTGGACAAGCTCAGTCAAGAGGGCATCCTCATGCCACAGCAGCTCCTGATCACCCTGCCCACCAAGGCCAACACCTGGGTGAAGTTGCACCATCCGAAAAAGGCCAAGGAGGGGGCGCCCCGGTGGGAAGATGTGACCAAAATGTTTGAAGGAGAAAGTAAGAATGGACTGATGGCGGAGGAAGGGGGATGTATGTAAAAAGATAGGTATACATTTTATTGAGGTGATCTCTTGCAGAGAAAACTGGGAGAAAGAAGATCTTTGGGGTTCATTCTTATAGCTTTTTAGGAGGGGAGAAAGAGATGAGGGAAAATCCTAGGCTCCATGTGACAGGTTCTCTATGCTGCTCCTATCTCCTGTTTTCAAAAATAACATGTGGCAAGGAGAAAACGCAAGGTGTTCTCACTAGTGGCTCCTAAGATTGTGATTCACAGATGGGGGTCAAGGTTTGTGCCCCCTTAAATCCTCTTAAGTTCTGGTCATTTTAGCCTCAAAACAATAATTTTCATGAGTATCAGGGTTTTTTTTTTTTTTTTTTGGAGCCAGAATCTCAAGCTGTTGCCCTGGGTAGAGTGCTCGTAGCTCACAGCAACCTCCAACTCGGCTCAAGTATCCTCTTGCCTCAGTTTTTCTATTTTTTGTAGAGATTGGGTCTTTCTTTTGCTCTGGCTGGTTTTGAACTTGTGAGCTCAAGCAGTCTACCCACCTTAGTCGCCCAGAGTTCTAGGGTTACAGGTGTGAGCCACTGCTCCCGGCCTTGAGTATCAGTTTTTCATTACATCTGCTGAGCAGAAGTGACAGGCCTGATACCTCTCTTTCCTGAACTATGAGGGTTCCAGGAGAAATATGCTCAAAATGACACCTTATTTAGTGGTCTGCTCAGGAGTAAATAGGACAGAGGAATTCACATGTCTTATGTGGTATATTTGTGCATACTTCTAACACTTTAAACTCTGCCAGTGTTTATTGTGTTTAGCTGTAAAGATGGAAAATGAATTATTCTCTCTAGTGCAGATTATTAATTGATGGAAATAGACACACACCCCAATCAAAACAATAGAAAGTAGGCTGAGGAAAGTTCTTTTGGGCTCAGTGGTTAGGGCACTGGCCACATGCACCCAGGGCTGGTGGGTTCAAACCTGGCCAGGGCCTGCTAAACAATGACAACAATAACAAAAAAAATAGCCAGGGCGCCAGTAGTCCCAGCTATTGGGAGGGCGAAGCAAGAGAATCGCTTAAGCCCGAGAGTTTGAGGTTGCTGTGAGCTGTAATGACACGGCACTGTACCGAAGGTGACATAGACTCTGTCTCAAAAAAATAAAAAGTTCTTTTGGAATACAATGGACAACAGACTTTCTTCTGATCGTGTGTATTTGAGAAACTTTCACAAAATAGATACCATTGCATTGAGCCTTGAAGAATGTCTTATGTTTTTTTGTAGATTTGGAGAAAGAATACAAAAATGAATGCCTTGAAGAGTAGCTCAGAAATTGAGATAGCCTCAAGCTGTCACCCTGGTTAGAGTGCCATAGCGTCACAGTTCACAGCAACCTCCAACTCTTGGGTTTAAGCAGTTCAGACTTGCCTCAGCCTCCCAAGTAGCTGGGACTACAGGCACAATACCTGGCCTTTTTTTTTGGTTGTAGTTGTCATTGTTTGGTAGGCCTGGCCTGGATTCGAACCCACCAGGTCTATTGTATGTGGCTGGTACCTTAGCCTCTTGAGCTACAGGCACCAAGCTGGAATATTTAACCTAACAGGGTGAGGAAGGTGGTGGGGGATGTGTCCCATGTATAAAGGATGGTAGTTTTGAGGTAACCATTATTGAGAAAATGTGCTTTAGGCTGATATTAGGAGTGCCTTGAAATCCATAGTGAAATATTTGGATTTTTCTTTCATCTCATTGGGGAACCCTTGAGGATTTTTAAGGAAAGGAGTGGAGGCCTGATAGATAAGTGCTTTGGAACAGTGTTGGCCACTGGGAATTATTTTTCCTAGAGAGAGTCTCACTTTATTGCCCTGGGTAGAG